GAGGTCAATCAGACGATTGTGGTGCACCTAATTCAAGCCAAGATCTTTTCAGTTGCTTCTTCTGCATCTGAAAGCTGGATATTGACTTAGGATGACGGTAGAAGAATCAATGCCTTTGAACTATGATGGTGAAGAAAGACATCATGCATGAAAGGCTAAGCAAGAAAGAGGAAGGCCTCTGATGGGAAGGATTGACACAGCGGCTAGAGTAGTGGGTTTGAGTATCCCAGGGATGTGAAGATGACACAGGGTAGCGAAGGATTCAGGTCTGCCGTTCACCGGGTAGTGAGTCATGGTCCACTAGTGAGCACTTAATGACAACAATAACGCTGTTTGAGGACGGTTTCTTAGGGATTCTGACTGGTGATACAAATAAAATGAAATCCTCGGCAACTTCCTAAAGCTTCTATTGCTCCAGTTGTTAGGACTCTTGTTTTTTTTTACATGAAGATGTAATCTGTACATACATAAGGCTATAGGAGTTGACCTACATCAGTTAATATTTCAAATTGCCTTCATCTTCAGCAAGCTTTATTGTATTATCTTCTTACCTCAGGTATAGTTGGTTTTTTTAAAAAATCTATTTTACTTGAATGAAAGTTTGCACATTTCATTGGTTTTGTCATTCACAGACAATGGTTACCACTAATTGATGTCGTTGTTATGTGCCGTCGAGTGGACTGCGACTCACAGCGACCTTATCCACAACAGCCCTAGACCCTGATCTATCCCTTATCAATCTTATTGTCTCTGACACATCTATCCCCATGACCCCAGTCACTGAATCAATCCATCTCATTGAGGGTCTTTCCCTCCTGCACTGTCCCTCCACCCTCCCAAGCATGACATCCCTCTCCAAGGACAGATCCCACCTTGCAACATGTCCAAAGTATGCCAGATGAAGCTTCAGAATCTGCCTCGAAGGAGAAGCCTGGCTTCACCCTCTCCAGAGTGAACTTGTTTGTTCTTCTAGCAGTCCATAGTATAGTCAATATTCTTCTCCAGCACCTTAGCTCAAAGGCATCAACTCTCCTTCTATCAACCCTAGTCATTGTCCAGCTCTCTGATGCATAGCAAGTAATTGCAAAGACTATGTCCTGGATCAGATGCACCTTAGTCTCCAGAGTGACATCATTGCGCTTCAGTACTTTGGAGAGGTCTCTGACAGCAGACTTTCCCAATGCTATTCATCTTTTAATTTTCCAGCTGCTGGTACAAAAATTGTTGATTGTAGAGCCAATAAAACTGAAACAGTTAACTATCTCAATCTCTTCACCATCTATCATGATGCTTCCAATTGCCCAGTGGTGAGAAACTCTTTTTTTCCTTGATGTTGAGCCTCAATCCATATTGAAGGCTGCAGTCCTTGACCTTCTGCAGCAAGAGCTTCAGGTCCTCCTCAGTTTCAGCAAGCAGGGTTGTGTCATCTGCATGGTGTAGATCGTTGATGAGTCTACCTCCAATTCTGATGCCACATTTCTCCTCATAGAGCCCAGTCTCCCGGATAATCTGTTCTGCATACAGGTTGAAAAGGTATGGAGATAGGACACATCCCTGGTATCCACCCTTCCCAATTTTGAACCATGCAGTGTTTCCTTGCTCTGTTCTGACGACTGCCTCCTGGTCTAAGTATAGGATTCACATAAGTACAATCAAGTGTTCTGGGATTCCCATTCTTCTCAGAGTCAGCCGCAGTTTGTTGTGATCCACACAGTCAAATGCCTTTGTATAGTCAATGAAACACAGATAGACATTCCTCTGGTATTCCCTGCTTTCAGCCAAGATCCATCTAACATTAGCTACAATATCCCTAGTGTCACGGCCTCTTCTAAACCCAGCCTGCATTACAGGCAGTTCCCTGTTGATGTGCTGTTCTTCCAGTCGTTTTTGGATGATCTTCAGCGGAATCTTGCTTGCAGGTGATATCAATAATACTGTTTGATAACTTCCATACTCTGTTGGATCACCTTTCTTTGGAATGGTGTATCTTCTTTTGGAACATACATCTCTTCCAGTCAGTTGGCCAGGTGGTTGTCCTGCAGATTTCTTGACACACCTTGGCGAGCACATCCAGGGCAGTGTCTGTCTGTTGAAATATGTCAATTGGTATGCCATCAGTTCCTGGGGCCTTGTGTTTGGCCAATTCTTTCAGAGCAGCTTGAACTTCTTCCTGTATCACCACAGGCTCTTGCTCAGATGGTGTTACACGAAAATCTTCTGTGTCCAGCAATTCCTTTCGGTACGTCGACTCTGTATACTCCTTCCATCTTCTTTTCATGCTTCCTGGATCATTTAATGTTCTTCCCAAAGCATCCTTAAGTATTGCAACTGGAGGCACTAATTGATAAGTAACTAATTACAGTGTCTAATCAAATTCTTATTGCATATTGCTATTTCATTCATTCATGTCCTCGGTTTATTGGTTTTTTCTTTTCTTCCTCCTGCCCCTACCCCACTTAACCCACAGTATATGTTCCGTTCTAGATTGTCGATTGCAATATGCCCAAGGTCTGATTGTTTCTTTATTTAATATCTATTTTCCCTTCACCTGTTCCCAAATGGGAATTATATTCCATCTTCCTGCTTTCCCTGTCACCATCTCAACCACCCTATCTTTAAAACACTGGTCTTTTTACAAAGGAAAAACTAAGAAACACTTGCTTGAGAAACAATAAAAGACCTAAATAAATGGAAAAAATGTTTCCTGTTTATGGATGGGAAGACTAAATACTGTGAAAATTAAAATCTTATCAGAAGCAATCTACATGTTAAAAAAAAAAGCAATCTACATGTTTAATACAATTCCAGTACAGATACCAAATTCATTTTTCAAGGAGATTAAAAAGGTGATTGTCAAATTTATTTGAAAAGGGGAAAAAAACCCAAATAAGCAAAGTATGTCTGAAAAGCAAAAATGAAGTAGGAAGCATAGCACTACAGCTGTAATAACCAAAACAGCATGGTAGTGGTATAATAACAGGCACACAGAAAAATGGAACAGAATCAAGAATCTAGAAATTAACCCATTTGTCTATGGTCAACTGGTACTTAACAAGGAAACAAAATC